GTCATGGATTATTATGGATACGTTCGGTGGTATAATCTCGCGCTGAAAGGACCAGTCTCTTCCCGTCGTCTCCATTTGTCGACAATTTCAAGATGATGCCGGTGACCTCGTATACGTTTCTCCGGCATTGACGGTAAGATAATAGGTACAGTACAGTATAGCATGGTTTGATGGGTGGATCACTGTCTATTATTCTCTTACTACTATCTTATACAGTACAATCACAAGCGGAGTATACCTTCCCTAGGAATGGATTAAGTCAGTACTAGCTGACTATCCCATCCGAGGTACACAGTACAGTAACTACTAGAAGTAGTGTGATAGTTCACTATTCTCGGAACCAGAACCATTGGAATTTGATAGAACCACCAAAGCATGATTTTAGAAGTAATCAGCTAATGTTCTGTTTCATAAGAGGAAGTAAGAAAATAGAAAGGTTATTTATTATTCTATGTTACAATCCATTCACTTTTCGTACCCATCCGGTGCGTCATGAAGGCTCCCCCTTCGCAGCGGGAAGGTCAAGGTGTCGGTCGTGTGCAGCGGTCCCAGTTCATCTCACCCAAGGCCCGTAGCTCCACCAGCCAAAAGTGGAGGACGATCGGGAGGAAAGGCAGAGTTAGTTGGTTGGTTAATTAGTTAGTTAGTTCGATGATGATTCGAGAGGGGACTCGATGACCAAGGACTAGATGAATACTAGAATACTATAACAAACACTATAATAATGGCGGGGGATTAAGATGGCAAAATCAAAGACGATAATTGGGAGCAGCCTCATTTGTCACTAGCAATTGAAGGTACCAAGTCCTGGTTGCAGCAAAACCGGACCTTGACCCTCCCAGGGAACGTAGCAGTTCATTAGAAAAAAAGTCCCCAGCTGGTGGATCTGCGGATGTAAGTAAAAAGGAAAAAAAGAGGGCAAAAAAACTGTCAACTTATTACCAAATTACAAACAGAGGAAAACGAAAACACAAAATTTCCCATTCGGCTTCGCTTCTTACTTTCTTCTCTTCCTCTGTCTCTTTTTTTTTTCTTTCTTCCTCCTTCACAACGAGCCGGTTGATTCTTCTCCTGGTCTCCTTTTCTTTTTCACTTTTTCCTGTTCACTCCTGTTTGAAGGGCAAGGTTCGGCCAAAACAAAAGAGGGAAGCATCAAAGACACAGCGTCCTAATCTAAACGCATTCCGCTCCTCCCTTTGTTCAGGAGAGCTCTGTCGTTCTTGGAACCTTCCATACTAACCAACCTAACCCAACCTTCAATCCCTCGACCCCCCCCAGCCTGCCTGGTCTGAGTCTATCCTCTCTATCTCCCTCCTCCCCTCTTGACTCCTCCTCTTTTCTCCCTCTCTACCTTTTTTCTTTGTCCCCTTCTCCAGATTACCAGCCCCGGTGACCTCCCGTCCTTCAGACCGGCGATAGGACTATGTGCTAGCGTCGTCCTCCCTTCGTCCAACCCCAACCTTTCCTTCGGAAGGGTCAAACACTCTTGTTTCCGAACCTACAACTCCAGTCCGAACTAGCTTGGCTTCAATGACCCTGTGGAGGAGGCTCACATTCGTCGGCACAGCGATCCCTACCGAACCAACCCCTCTCCTCCAACATTCCTGACGGCCCCCGAAATATCTGGACTTCCTACAAGAGGGTTGCCTGGCAGCTTGTGCATTGTATGGTTGCTGGGATCACAACGTTGCTGACATGAGTTGGGATCAACCGGTTCACAGGTATGTCGGTTGAATTTCCTACTCATCTTGTATTACCGGCACACGCGGGGCTGCCTCTCTATCACCACACTCCTTACTAGCTACAATTTCTCCCTCATACTGTTTCCTTGCTCTTTTGTTACTTCTATTTGTCACTGTCTTCCGCTTGATTTCGGACTTTTATCTCTATATGCACATAAACCTCCACCCACATTGGTCTCCTCTGGCAGTATATCGTGTGGGTTGCGGAGCTCCTACCGAGCTCCGACCCTCCAGCGGTAGCTAGTGTGCAACATGATGCTGACAGAGCCGTCTTTCTCGTTCAGCTTCAGCTATCCCAACGGTGAACCTCAGACTCCTACGAGGACTCCCCCGACAACCACAATCTTTGGCGATTCCGCTTTTCAGACCCCTAAACTCGAATCCAGCTTCTTCGATCCCCGGGTTACCTGGGATACTTCGGACCCCTATGCCTCGAGTCCGGAATTCCTCCGCACGCCCCAGAAGTTTGGGCTGAGCACACCCTCCATCAATCCTCTCCGGCTGCCGGATACTGCCCCCGACCGACCGACCGATACTGAGGACAATACCCGGAATGGGAAAGCGGCGGAGCAGGACACTGATACGGCCAAGAGACGTCGCCCGTCCAGGCCACATGGGCATGTGGGAGAGGATGGTCCTCGCACGGTAGATTCAGCCAAATCTGCTGCGACAATTCAGACCCCTCCTCCCAGCAGTGCTTCGAGGAAGAAGGTGACGGGGCTTGACGAGGCCACTGGTACAGGTCGACGGCCGTCCGCCTCTAGCATGATTGGCGGTCATTTAGAGACTCCCAGTCGGTTACTGGGGGCTTCCCCACGGCTCTTTGGAGACCTTCAATCATCCTCAGACCCATTCCAGCTAGGATCAATCGATTCCGGCGCCTCTTCATTCTTCCCACAGCAAAGGCTATTCTGGGACCATGATCTCAATCAGCACGAGAGCAATATGGGCCTGTCGGCCAGTAACAATCTTGACTTGTTTGACCTTCATGCCAATGACTCCTTCCACGTCAACCACACCACCGCCCCGGATTCTCACATCCCACAGTTGCCTATAATCGAAGGGAACATGGACCTCCCCGATTTCAATAATAGTAGTACATATAACCTCTCTTCGGGGGTGACCACTACCGACGCCGCCCTCTTCCCTGCCCCTTTCTCCACTTCCCCTCGCCGCCCTATCACGAAAGCAGAGGATCCAGCACTGTTCCTGAGCTCCCCTGCACGCCGATTTGGTGGACTGCAGCCGACTCCTGAGAAGAGGCTCTTCTCCCGACCGACTCGCCAGCCCTACCATCACCAAACGGAGGAGTCTAAGAGAGAGGAACTCCGCCGCGCTCGCAGCGTCAATCACCATATCCCTGTCTATGAGGATGATGATGACGATGACTACACCCCCCGTCAGATGAGGCCGACTTTGACTCGTAGCCTAACGCACAGTGCTATTGCAGGGTCTGCCAGCCGACCAGGGTCTGGGAGTATGATGGCTTCCAGCAATGGAATCCGGAAGAGTCCCTCCAAGGGTCGCTCCTCTCCTATCAAGCCCGTTCGCCATCAGCTGTCGAGGGCAAATTCAGTGGCTGCTAGTCTGCCCAGACGCTCTCAGTCCGTAGTCCTCAAGATAGGCAAAGACGGTAGAGCTAAGGCGGAAATGCAACCTGTGCCAGAGGCATCAACCGGTTTGACGGACCCCCTGACAGGAATGGACTTGGATGGCTCCACCACGGAAAGCGAGTATGACTCGGTGGACTACTGTGAATACCCAACTGTCCCCAGCCGCAACCCTTCATTTGCATTCTCCGACGCCAGTGGGGCGACGATTGCTCGTAGTGACTGCGGTTCACGGCCCCATTCGAAGGGTTCCTATACCTCTACGGCAGCGTCATCCTCAGGACGAGCATCCCCGTGGGCTGACGCCGCTCGAGCGCCTTCCAGACGACCACAGTACAAGCCTACTTTGGATGACTGGAAGCGCACCCCGAAAAAGCAGTTGACAACGCTCCACTCAGACCTATCTTACCTCAGTGCCGGTTCCCTAGGCGAGCCTTTTGCTGATCCCGAGGATGACAGTGGTGATGCCCAGCATGCACTCCGAAAGGTCCTCCAAGAGAGAGGTCGGATCCCTCGTCCGCACACTGTCAGCTACGGGTCGCGGATCGGCCGTTCTGCTCGCTCTCTCGCTCACCTCCGATCGTCCCCGCCACGATTCGGTGTGGAGCTTGACCTCAGCTCACGAACCACGAACACATCGCCCACGACCATGACCGACCCCGACATAGCCACCCCCGTCACCGACCGCTTCAGCAACCCGAGCAATGGGACCCGGTGTGTCTGCAATTCCATGGACAATGGTGGCCACCTCATGATCCAATGGTAAGCCATAGCAATAACTGTCTATGGATGGCTACTGATTGATGAGCAGCGAATCATGCAGTCACTGGTTGCATACCAAGTGTGTTGGACTGGAGCGGGCCAACCTGCCGTCCGTGTATGTGTGCATCTTCTGCGCCCAGACACCCACTCGAAAGAATCATCGGGTCCGAGTGCCTGTCGGGGCTTCTGGACATGCCCCCACCTCGCCTCTAGCTCATAAATCCTACCGATTTCGATGAATGTAATGACCATGGCGCCCGATTGGCGTCCTTCCCTTCTTCGTGTACCATTCTCGCACCGAGTCTTTGTACGACTTGACCTACATCCCGGGTGGGTTCAATTTTTTGCATTGATGGTCTCGCCAGTGAGCAGGCCTACGCCTTCGTTTTTCTTTCTCCACCGGGTTTCCTTTGTTTATCTGTGTGCCAGAGCTTAGACATACCCCCATTTCCTTGCGACGTACATTCCATCCGCTTCGGGCGGTCATGTATCAACATCCCAGCGGTAACTGCTCACCTGTGGATGTTGGATGTTTTTAATCTGTTCTATTAATTGTGTGGCGAGAGACTTGTGATACCTGTACTCTTATATGTTCGCCACCTCGAATGAAATCACTACCATGAAGTACGACATTAGCATCAAGTAGATCTGAGTAGATCTGAGTAGACCTGACTCCTACCAGTACATACTCCGATGTAGCGTTCGGTAACGGAAATACCGTACCGCTTTTAAGGCGGTGAGACGTTCCTGACGAGATCGGAGATTGACGCACTCCGATTGGTGGACCTGACGCTTATCGGCTCACCGCCCGCGATAGGCACGTGTGTGGTCCCGCCTCAATGATTTTCGCCGTGGCGCCGATGACTCCTCCGATCCTCCTCCTTTCCCTGAAGTGTCTCTGTCCATCCTGTCTTCGCGACTCTCCTTCGTTCGTCTCTGCAGATGTCCGCCTCCCTCCCCGGCAGCCGGGACCTCCCTCGGTCTCAATATGATCTGACAACCTACTGGGGCCGCGTGCGGCATGCGGCTGACCTCTCCGACCCGCGGTAAGTGGGAAATGCGCTCGATGTGAATGAGTGTGTGTGAACTTTCGCTGACGCCAATTCCTCCAGGATGATGTTCGTGTCTTCGTCCGGCCTGGAGCAGGCCAAGCAGCTGGTCTCCTCCTACAAGCAGAACCATCTTCCGCATATGACTCCGGAGCTGTGGCGCGCGAAGAAGGTGGTCGATTCCACCCTTCACCCTGGTGCGTTCTCTCCCCTTAGCTAGCGTTTGTGAGGAAGAAACCACCTAGCATATACTCATACACATCAACAGACACTGGCGAGCCGGTCTTCCTTCCCTTCCGCATGTCCTGCTACGTTATGTCCAATCTGGTCGTGACAGCTGGTATGCTTACGCCTGGACTGCAGGTAAGTTACACACCGACACGCTCCAGCCTTTAAACCCGACCATGGATTTTCAAATCTGACCAATAAACCAAGACCACCGGAACTCTTCTCTGGCAAATCGCCAACCAATCGCTCAACGTTGCCATTAACAATGCGAACGCCAACAAGTCCACCCCGCTGTCCGTCCCCCAGATCGCCAAGTCCTACCTCATGGCCGTGTCGGCCTCCTGCTCCGTCGCTCTGGGTCTGAACGCCCTCGTGCCCCGTCTCAAGGGCATCTCGCCCAACGCGAAGCTCATCCTGGGTCGTCTTGTGCCGTTCGCCGCCGTGTCCAGCGCCAGCGCTCTGAACGTGTTCCTCATGCGTGGCGAGGAGATCCGTCAGGGTATTGACGTGTACCCGGTGCTGTCGGAGGTGGAGAAGAAGAAGCTCGAGGAGTCCGGCGAGACGGTGCAGAGTCTGGGCAAGAGTAAGAAGGCTGCTACTATCGCTGTCGGTGAGACGGCTATCAGTCGTGTGCTGAATGCTACTCCTATCATGGTGGTCCCGCCGTTGGTGCTGGTGCGGTTGGAGAAGACTGCTTGGTTGAAGGCTCGTCCAAGGATGATTATGCCTTTGAACTTGGGATTGGTCCTGGCGACGTCCCTGTTTGCGTTGCCGTTGGCCCTGGGTGCGTTCCCCCAGAGACAGGCTATTAGCGCGACGACTCTGGAGCCGGAGTTCTGGGAGAAGGGTGGTAAGGATGGTCAGGTGGAGTTTAACCGGGGCATGTAGATAAAAAGTTTACCTTGGTTGGGAAGGGGGGGCGTTTGTTCATAGCTGTTGTCTTCGGGTCATTGTGCTTTGCAATGCTTTTTAGATCGTTAGACCATTTGTGGATAGATCGTGTGGTTGCATATATACTATTGTGGGTGAGCATTGGTCTTGAGAGAAGCTAAAGCTTCATCAATTAGAAGGAATTGCTATTCAAGTGCTACAAGTGCAACGCATATACTACTTGGCACGTCATCACTCCTTCGGTTACAACTGAAAAGAAAATATATATATTTACTTACTACTATGACCTCTTTAAGTTACATAGTACTAGTAGAGTACTGGTATTGCCTACACTGGTACATTATATCATGAAGGGTCTTATACATATATAGTAAACAATTAGTATATAAAGTAGTTGTTAGCAAATCATTTCACCAGTAACTAAGCTATAGATATATTCCGAACACACTCTTCTATACCATCACAAAATAGTTGTACGATAGTTTTTTAAGTTGTAATACCCTCATCATTACAGTACCCTACTAATTTCATCTATATATAATTAAGTGCTGAGAATATTGTCTAGCTATAGGATTATCATTTAACAGAACTTATTACTTATTATCTTATAAGAAAAGCATGAGACTTATATAAGATAGTATGCTAACCTGTGCATTGATGGAGGTAGATAGATCTCTTATATATATAGCATGTGTAGGCTTACCCCCTCCCCCATCACTAAAAGGCTAGCAATGATGTCTTTCAAAGACGCCCACACATTCTCTCGCGCAATAATACTAACACCCCCATGGGCGCCCCTTGATCGACTTCAAGTCTTCAAATCTACTTTTTACTGAGTCAGTGGTACTAATTACTATGCAAATCCAGTATTAATTGGAATTCACCTCCTTAGTCCCAGACCCAGATTCAATCATATACTTCGTCGGAGTCGAAATCCGTCATTTTATATATATTTCATGGAGATTCTTGAGAGGTTGGATAGAAAAGTACAATGAAAAACAATCCATAACACTGCACCCAGCCACCTTCCTCCATCTATCTTTTCTCCCAGGTGATTCGTATAATGGGATCACGGAGGCTAAGGTCATTAGGAAATCTAGTTCGTGGTGTTTGATTCGGGTTTGATATTGGGGGAATTGGTGAATGTTGTTTTCTTGTAAGGAGGAATAAGTATAATTGTGGTGGTAGTAATGTTTTGGGTTTCGGTTGTATGGTGGAACAGTTGGGTGCATGCACAAGGGTGAGTCTGTTGTAGAGGCTTCTGTTGGTGGTGAGTGGGCGAGTGGTAGGGATGGATGATAATTTGAAGTGAGATGTTGGAGTGTGTAGCTGTAAATAGAGTTGATGAGATGCTTTGAGGGAGAATAGGAGGAGGATGAGGAGTAAGGAAAGGATGGATTAGTATTGTAGTAGCCATTCTGTCATTTGGGAGGGGAATATGATTTCCGTACCTGTCTTATATCTATTGTTGTGTGTACTGGTGTGATAGGCAGTAGGGATGGCTGTGAACATGATGCTGTTTTGAAGGTCTTCAACTTGTCCATCATATCAAGGTTGGTATTGGTATTGGTATATGAGATGGTAGATGGTAGCGCCAGAGAACTCCGGGTCCGTTGATCAGTCGTAACGAGCTCATAAAAGTAAGTAGGTAAGGTAGTATCAAGTGGTATAATATATATACATCGGTAGGAGTGGTAGTTCACAATGCACACGTCTATGCATCATCATCACCTCGGCCCATCCGAGGGAAACAGACAGACAGACCAGAGGGTACTGCTCTACCGCGTCGAAGAACAAGTCAAAAAGGTCAAGAATCATAGTCGAAGCTATGCAGGAGATAAATCGTCATGTCACCAGCGCCCGTAGACGTCAATAAGTTCCGAGTATGAGAAATCACATCGAACGATGCTGCGAGAAGAAAAAGAGACGATATAAAAAAACGATGAAGCACAACAGAAATCCCACAAGCCCACAAAGCCCCAAGTCCAGGCCGCCCGGACTGTATAAAAAACACATGAATATAAAATGGTATGTCCCTCCGATGATCAATATATGTCGTACTGCTTTTTTGTCCTCGTCGGGGACTGGTGTAGTCAGGCCCCGACCAACGGTTTCTTGTGTTCACAATGAAGCATGCAAAACCCCATACACCTTGCCCGATTGCGGGCATCAACTCCGGGATATCCCATCCATGTACCCTCCGTCAGTTCCATTACCCAGTTATCATCAATCGGCTAGCACTATCGCCAGGCCATCCCTGAGAAGTAGTATCCAAACAGAAAAATAACATCCCTCTATCGCAAATGTGGCTGTACCCATACATGCAAACGCCTGGTGGCAGTCGAAGGGTTTACCTCGACGTACCGGCCTCTTGGTATAGAAGGGCTCCGCAGCATCTGAATATTAGCGCGAAGCTAGATCACACCCGATAAAAGTGTCCAGCGCAAGGCAGTCCAACTCAACGCCGCTGAGTGGTGCGTTGCAGCTGCTCCCCGATCCGTAGGGCCTCGGTGCCGTCATCCACCAAGGACTCCTTGAACCACTGGTGCTTCAAAGCTTCCTTGGCCGTGATGCGGTTCTTCGGGTCGTACACGAATATCCGCTGAAGGAGATCGAGGAATAATTTGTGGAACTTGGTGTTGGTCGGGATGAAATCCTGCGGCTTGTTAGCAATCCTGAACCGGGTTTAGTCCATGCGTGGAAGGGGCTCGTACCGGAAGCTGCTTCATTGCCCTCACATACTTTCGTGAGGCACGAGTGGTCTGATCGTTCGGGTATTCAAGCTTGTTCCTGTTGAAATACCTGGGACAGTCAGCATCATTCGGCGGGTGTAACCACGATGTAACTTACTTGGCGGCCTGGTTCTGGCCTGCACTGCGACCGCCTTGCATCACCTGCCTCACTAGTCTAGTGTCAATGCGGTCGCCGATAACAGCTTCCATCATGGCAAGGTGCTCCAGGTTGTCATGCGTCTGGAAAAGGGCGTCCCCGGTGAAGAACTCCACGAGGATGCAACCGATACTCCAGATGTCGCAAGGGAAGCTCCAGCCCAGATTTAAGATAATCTCGGGGGCCCGATAGTGTCTAGTGGACACCACGGACGAGTGATACTCATCATCAAATGTGGCTGACCCAAAGTCAATCAGGCGGATCTCACTGTCCAACAGCACACGTCTTTGACGTGCACTCCGGGAGATGGCATGCGAAGAGGATGGGATGGTGCGATTATAGGTAAACGTTTGGTAGGCGTTGCTGACCAGAAGGATGTTTTCGGGTTTAAGGTCGGTGTGGATGAGATTGAGGTCATGAAGGACTGAGAATGTCAGCTAGATATCCCCGATGATAGGCATATTGCCAAAAGTACTCACAAGCTACACTGGTGAACAGCTGTCGGGCGAAGTTTTGAATCTGGCTGCTGGGGAACGGCACAAAGCCGTTTCCCTTCAGAAAATCGAAGACACTCTGCCCCAGCAGATCCGTCACGATACAGATGTGATTGCGATAGTCAAAACAGTCCCGTAGGTGGATGCACTTGTTGCGGTTCTGCTTGTCATTTGAGGCCAGTGTGGACAGCACCCGAAGTTCAATCCGCGAAGCATCCCGGTACTTTTGGATCGAGCGGATGATCTTGACGGCACAGCGGGTCTTACGCTGCTTGTCAAACGCTTCAACCACCTTTCCGAATGTACCTTGCCCCAAGAGTTTGATGATCGAGTCTGCGAGACGTTAGCATCGATCGCATCTGGAGGAACAGCAAGGCAACACATACATCGCTCAGTCAAGGGAGTATTAGGATTGACAATATAATGGCCATCGTCGTCATCATACTTTTCGCCTCGATTGGCATACTACAGTTGGTTAGCAAAGAAGGGAAGAAGGAGGATGGGGAATGATTTATGACATACATCGCGGACCACAGGTACCGGAACATCCTTTGCCTTGATGGGCGGCTTCGGCGGCGGGACATAGCTCAAGAACGCATCCCCTGCGTTCTCTAACTCCCGCCGCTTTTGCTCATCGCGAGCGGACTTGCGGGTGGTTACGCGCTTGCGTTTCTGGCCAACATTGGCGTCCTCGTAAATGATCCCATTACTGGCCCCGGAACTTCCCTGGGACAGAGATGTAGGAGCCGTGGTGTGCAGAGAGGTTGTCCGATCAGTCGACAGGGAGGCAGCCGATGACTCCTCGCCATAGTGTTGTGGATTGATTGAGTACGAGGGCCGATCATAATACGTAACGTCGTAGGCTGACTCGATGCCAGTGCGCCGTTTTTTCCCGGCTGGCTGAGGAGCGTTGCCGTTGGCTGCCGTGACGGTGGACGCTGTCGCGAGACTGCGCGAGGAGGCCTTGGACTGTTCCGGAGGGGGCGTGTCATCGATGACAATCACCTCCTTTGGGATCCCATTTTTATAGAACTCGCCCCAGTTAGGCTTCCTCCTCCGGGTACCTTGCGCTGTTGTGCCAGCGCTCACAGCGTTGTGGGCTGGAGGCATTGTTGTGGTGGCAGTGGTTGTGTTGGTGGTTGTGGTAGTCGTTGGGGTGGGTGCGGTTGGCATAAGCTTCGGAGATTGCACGAAAGGAAGGGTAGCAGGCGTCGGGGCGGTAACGGGATAGGGATATGAAGAGGGGACAAGGCGAGAAGTGGCTGCAGCGGAGGTGGTGGGATAGGATGCGTTCGGTTGGTAGGGTTGATGATGGGGGTATCCGTAGTGTTGCTGATGCGGATGCGTCGCGGTAGCCGTGGAAGGGGTGGACATGATGCAAAGAAAAAGTGTATACTAGCCGGATGTCCTCACGGCGGATTCCGGCTAGATGAAGGAGAGAGGGGGAGGGAAGAGAGTAAAAGAGAGAGGGGGAGAGAGAGAGGAGATAAGGACGTGAAGAGGAGGAAGAGAAGAAAGAGGAAAGGAGAGAGAGGGTGGTGGTGGAGGGGAGGAGATTCACAGTCGCCGGATGGTCGTCGGCCGTCCGAATTGTCGTAGTAACAAGCGGCAGTCGTTCGTCGTAGTAATCCTAATCTCTGCGAAACTACCTGGGAAAGCAGGGTTCGAACACCCGGGGATTCTCGTGTTGAAATTCCAGCAAAAAGTGGAATGAAAATTGATGAGGGTATAGGAAA